GTACAAACCTTTCCTTTAATCCTCAACATCCTTCTAAGTATTGTCCTTATTTTACAAAAGGGGATATTGAGGCTCAATTAAAAGATACTCAGACTTATGTAGCTATAACTTAGCAGAGCTAGATCCAAACCCAGGTTGTCAAAACCCAAAGTCAAACCTCTTTAACGTCCAGGTTCCTCGTGGTATGAACTGAGTTTAACCAAGTTTCACTATTTATAGGCAGTGAAATTGGATATTAATCTGTTCATCTTCTTGTCCATCCTTTGTTAATGTATAAAACTACAAAAAGGATTCTAATGTGATATGTCCCTCTAATATTACTTATTCAAGCCAATTAAAACTTGGGCTTGCTTTATAGAATTTTACCTTGTGTTTAATTTTCAGAAACAACCTTTACTCTTAATACTAAATGCCATTATCAGTAGACTGAGCAGCTTTGGAAAGGAAGGAGGATAAATAATACATTTATGTTGTTTGAAAACACTGAGTTTTAAGTGCTCCTGAGACAGAGAGGCCAGTAGGCAATAAAATATACTCTGCAGTAGAGGCAGATTTGGGAGTGGAGCTAAGAAAGCCACAGGAAGTGTTCTGAATTTGGTCACCAGGGAAACTATGTTTAGTGAGAAAGATGTATCTCATTAACTGGTGAATCCAAAACACTAACATTAATGTAAGTATCTACACTTGACCCTCAGTCATCTGGACTTGTGTGTGTGTGTGTGTGTATATATAAAACTGTGACATTTAATTATGCCTTAAATATAATGCATACTATTGTGGTAAAATTTTGAGTTATTTATTAATTCCTGAAAGTAAGCCAAGTACGGCTTTGATTAATTTTCCTAACTTAGGTCTAAATATGATAGTCAAGATTTAGGCAGGTTTTACACAAAATTCTACATCCAGGCACTCAGTAAAATATACTCTGTAAAATAAACTTTTGAGAATGAAACTGGTTTTTCACTGTAACCACTTTAATATGCCATTTGTGCTGACTTTTGCCAGGCTCAATTCTAAATACTTCATACTAATTATAGACAGGTACAGAGATAAAACTCTAACTCTCTCTCTCTATCCCCCCACCCTCACATATTTAAGAATCCTGTGAGTTAGGGACCATGTTATTTTCTCCAATTACAGAAAAGGAACTGATATTTGCAGAGGTGGTACCGACTTGTCGGGGGTCACATAACACTGGTTCTGTCTTGCACAAAAACATGCTTTTTAAGCAATATTCTAGTAATCTCCAAACTTCTTTGTACTTACAGCCATTCAAGGGAAAAAAAAAAACAACACAACTGTAAATACACATTCTCATAGGAAATTATTACTCTGCATATTTCACACAGTAAAAGAACGAGATAAAGTAAATCTAAGTAGTTCCAATATGGTCCCTCTCCACTCATGCACCCATGGAACTCTCTGCAAGCAAGTGCATGTGCCAGTGAACATTTTAAAAGACTACACAGCAGCCGTCTAAAAGCCGTCAGCGAATTTGGACTCTTTTTCTTTTGAATATACATTCCAGAGTAGCTTGTCTTCAAAACACTCGCTTGTAATCGTCTCCTCATGAAATATACGGAGCAGTAAGCACTCACATTAAGTTCTGTCTTCAGGGTTTAAACAGCAAATAGTTGCTCTTTCTAGGAATTATCCCAGGATCCTCTCAATCCCTTTCTCTACCCTTGAGTCCTGTGTTCCGCAATTCCCAATAGTGATTCTTCTCCAGCTCATCTCCACGAGAAAATCAGGGAAAAGAAATAACATCATAAATCCTCCAAACATCACAATTTAATTCTTCCAGGTACAGAAGAGTATGCGTTCTCATGAAACTGGCATTTTAGCAACAAATCCAATTTAAGTAATATTTACATACATCTCTTAAACATTCTTAAGTAGCTATTTGCGAGGTACCATCAAACGGGTGATAAAAGCCCGATTCCCGAACCCAACCTCACCCCCCGACCCTTATACCCCCCAAGCCCCTCGTCAAAGCCTAAAGGGCCGTTTGGGGCCGGGCGCCGGGTCCCGCAGCCCGAGCCGGGATTGGCAAGCTTCGCCGCCAGAGCCGCTCGAGGGCGGAGCCCAGCGGACACACGGGCAAGTTTCCCGCAGCTGAGGGGACCTGTGCCGCCTGCGGAGAGGGCGAGAAGATCCCCGCCGGCCGCGGGGCGGGCCCCCTAGACACTGCCGCAGCTCCGCTGACCCGGCCGCCACCAGGTGGGCTGGGGGCGCCAGCTACGAGTGCGGTGGAGGGGCATGGACCCGCAGCAAGGGAGAGCGACGGCGCGCGCCCTCACCCTACCTCGAACAAGTCGAAGTCTCTCGAAGGAACCCGATCGGCGGGGCGGCCGTGGCGCAACAGGACGCTAAAGCCACCCGAGGGGCGTCTCGGCGTCGGCCGGCCGCCGTCGGCCCGCGGGGTTCTGCGCGCCCACGGCGGGAGAAGGCAGCAGCCCGGCCGCCCCGGCGCCCACCGCGGGACACTCCGCGCCTGCGCCCCGCCCCCCCCCTCCCGCCGGGACTCCGCCCGCGCGTGCGCGGTTCGGGGTTTTCGCGCCACTGGAGTCTTAAGAGGGACCGGAAGTGCCCCTGGCCGGACGGAGAAAGCTTGTAGAAGCTTAGGGCTCGGCGATAGCGGGACGCGGGGAGCGGGGCGGGTGATTTGCCTAAGTGAAAGTGAAAAAAGCTCGGAGCCCCAGGACTACAGTCCCACCCATGCGTACAGCGACCGGCTGGGAGCGCGGGAAGCCGAGCGTACGGCCGCGGTCGCGGAAAGGGGACAGTCACTTCCCGGAAGAGGCGGGGCCGTGGGCGAGAAGGCACCGAATTCGAAGTGCTCCCCAGGAGCTTTCCGGGGCAGGGTGCTAGGCGCCAAACGGTCGACTTTGCTTGGGGAAGGAAAGAGAAAGTCTTTCCTTTTCTTTTTCTTATTTTTTGAGAAGAGAAAATTTAGAAACTTGTAGACAGCAGTAGTTAGGATTCAGGCCAAACTGGTAAATCACGGAAGGGCGTCTTTCATAACCAAGGAGGAAGGGTTGTCCCGGTAAGTCCCGCAGAACGGTGGAGAGACGGCACCGCCCGGGTCCTTCCACTGGCTCCTTTGCAGTCTGGGTTGGGGGCGAGCTCTGTGTTCGTGTCCCTGTCGCACCCGCCCCCTCCTCCCAAAAGCCTCCCTTTGGGTCCAGGAGGACAGCAGTCCGAAGCTCCCGGCCGGATTCAGCCCTGCTTTCCGAGCCCGGAGTCTCCCAGTCCCTGCGGTTCGCCCCGGCGCGTGGGAGCTGTCCGCCGCGGCTCCGCGCTCTGGCGGCCGTGCCGAGGCCGCTGGGTCCCGAATGTCCTTATCCCGGGCACCGTGGGGTACACTCCCACGCCTGGTTCAAGGCCATCCTGGGCGAGCCTTCCCTGATCCCCATGGGCACACTTGGGTGTTCCTCTTTTTTGGTGTTAACTTTGTGTTTTGGAAATACTTCCATTATAGCAGTTATCTTAAGGCATTGTGGTTGTTTATTTACAATCTTTCTTTCCGCTGGCGCGTGCCTACATTGCAAACCCTCTCAATAAACATCGGAACTAAAGAAGTTTAAGTTCCTTGGCTTAGCTTTCAGCGCCTTCTCAACCCGACATTAAGCTACCGCCTCTGTCTTTACACAGCTCTTCACGTGGCAGCTCTTCACGTAATATACTTTCTATACCCCAAAATCTTCCTTTCTAGATGGAAAAAAGGGGTATTTACTGCTAACCCAGAACACCCCCGAAGAAATTGATGTCAAACTTCTGGTCTCCAGTAAGGAAATTCCTACCCTTTTACTTCTAAAGATGATCAAGTATATGTTCCTTTCCTGGCCTTTGCCATGATACACATATGACATAGTCAAAATAGGTGAAAACACTACGACATCTGGCCCAAGTGGTCCTTGTGGGTAAAAGATGGGAAGCACAGCTGGGAGGTCTCTGCTTATATGTCACTTCCTTTAAGAAGTCTTCCTTGATGCCCTACACTAGGTAGGATACCTTCTTTAGCTCTATTTACTCCTATAGTTCTCTAGCCTTACTTCTGTGCCTGTACTTGTCACATTGTTATAATTCCCTTTTTATCTCTAATCTCACCTAACCACGGTCCTTAAATGCAGGGCTTGATCTTTCAATATCGTATCTCCAGCACCAAGAAGAATTCTGGTAAATAGTAGGCATTTAATAAATATTTATTAATAACAAGTAATTTAAGCCTGTGTTATATTATTCTTCAAAGTTTAAGCTAAATTCATATGAAAATAAAACTGAAGAAATAATAAACACAGCATTAATTAGTGAAATTATGTGGTGAGTCTTATACAATACAATCCTGAATTGAAATAAGCTTTATACAGTTTACCAAACTTTATATGAAATAGAGTCATCTGCATGGGAATTGGGAAATTTAAAGTAGTTCCTGCATTATTGTTAAAAAAATTTGTTTCTAATGTTTCTGCTTAAAACTGAAATAAAACTGGAAAGCTGTTAGTTTAATAAAATGTATATTTTTGCATATCAAACCATTTACCTCTTTTATGTTCTTTAAATTTGATTCATTAGTGGAATTAGCAAAGTTCTGTGGTTTTCTCACCTCCTTCAGTTTTATAATTAACCAATAAAGCTTATTAGCTTTTAAGGAAGTTTTAGGAGCATAAATTGATTTATGGGTACCATATGGTTACATCAAAGGATTTGGTTTTGTTTTAACCTGAAGGGGATTCTTAAGCTCTTTTTTTAAACTAGAAATTCATGTTCTTTCTACCAAGAAATAATATCTGAAATAGAGTGGTTTGTTTTTAATACCAAGCTATTAGAGTTGGTGATGAGATTCAAAAGATATCAGAATCTTGTAATTCATTTGGTTTAATACCTCTCATTTTGTAGATGGGTTAAATGTCCTCCCAAGGTTGTACAGCTAGTCAGTGTATATCCAAGATCAAAATTTTAGGTTTTCTATCCCAAGTCCAATGCTCTTTCACTAAAGCATATAAATTGAAGCCACTAGTAGGCTATAAAGTTATTTGCTATGGGTTGTTCTGACTTCGTTGATTCACATAAGTATTCTTGCATCACATTAGTTCTTAAGAACTATATTAGGAGACTTTTTAAAATACATGTAATATACATTGATTGCATGAGCAGATTGATGTCAGTGAAATCATTACATCATGAAAGATAGGAGTAGAGACTCACCAAATCTTACATCATAAAAAATTTCAAATTTCACCTATTAAAATAAAAATGGAAGATAAAATTATACACAGTTTGGGGTGAGTTTGCTATGTGTAGTATTTTAAAATTTTACTTAATGCTGAGCTATTTTCAAGCAGCCTTTTGAGGTTGATCATGACCTCATGCAAGAACCATCTGTTCTATCTTTGAGTGTAGTTGTACTTGAATATCTTAAAAGTTGTTGCATTCTGTCCCCTTTGGGAACTTTAAATGCTTTTACAGTCTTACCATTGCTACTTAATATCACTTCAAAGGAAGGGCTGGTGCAAAGAAAGTGACAAGGAATGGGAAATAATTGATGGTGGAAGTAGACATTTTAGATTAAGTGCATCCTTAAAACATGTTATGGGGAGTTCCCTGGTGGCCTAGTAGTTAGGGTTCTGGGCTTTCACTGCCATGGCCCAGGTTCAGCCCTTGAGTGGAAAACTGAGATCCCACAAGCCACACAGCACAGCCAAAAAAACCAAACACACACATGGTGTAATTTTTCATAAGATATTTCACATAATTTTACCCTTTTAGAACTATTGAGGTATTTGTTTAATATTCTGCTTTTACAAGTGATTTTCAAAAGGAGCACAAAGACCTTAGGTTGTAGATCTATTGAAGATAATCCTAAAATAGTATTTTAAAAGAATGTATTACATTTAGAATGCTTTGTAATTTTACATTAATATTTTTTGCATTTTACAACTGACTGTAAGATAGCACCATAAATGAAGTAAATTAACTGGTAACAAACAAGTTATGTCACCCTTAAGGAAATTCACTATCCATTACCAGACAGATGAAGATTTTTAAATATGTTTCAGATTTTTAAATAATATCATTGTGGCTTCTATGGGAACGCTGATTGCGCGGGTGGCAAAAAGTAGAAGCAGAGAGGCCAGTTAGCAGACTTCAGGCACTAGAAGAGTATCTTTAGAAACGGGGATTTAGGATGTGTTTTGGAGACGGGACTTGTTGATCAAGTTGCTGTTAGAGAGTGAAGTAAAGAGAACAATCAAGAATGACTGCTAGGTTTTTGGCCTAAGCAACTGGATATTTGGCAATGACTAGGGATAGAACAGTTTTGAGGAGAGATGGTGGAATCAAGAATTAGATGCATATTATGCATCCATGTAAAGTAGGAGATTAGATGTTCTTATCAAGAATTCGGAGAAGTTGTCACATGATGAGGGATAAATATTAAAGAGGGAAAGTGAAGAGAAGTTTCTTCATTATAGAGTATTCAAAGGAGACTCACCTCTCTGACTCTGAAAATAATCTTCCTGTGAGTCTTTCTGTTAACTTTCTAGTTCTCATGCCTGCCACCAATCCTTTAAATAGTGTTGCTTGGCATAGTTCTAATCCATTATTTTTTAGTTAAGACTATATAAAGTCTTGCAGTTATTCAAGAAGATCTAATGGAAATTCATTAACGGTAAGTTACTAAGAGAAAGAAAAAAAAAAAAAAACTCATTGGGGCATGTTAGAGACGGAGCCTAGCTCCTAAAAATTGTCCCCTTGGGTCCTATCATTCAGAGAAAACAGTGGAGAAAAGCACGTTTCACGATAGCAGCAATTCTTTCATGGTTATGAAAGAAACATAGCAGAGCATTACTACTTTATAGGAATATGCTTGGGGGACACGAGAGATTTTTAACCTTTTTCAAATGCATTTCAGTAGATATATTGGGACTCTAGGTCAAGGTACCAAAGTAGTTTAAAAAGGAATTGGATGAAGGTGGTCAGAGGTACAAACTTCCAGTTATAAAATAAATAAGTACTAAGGGTATCCTGTACAGCATGATTAATATCATTAACATTGCTCTATGTTATATGTGAAAGTTGTTAGGAGAGCAAATCCTGAGTTCTCAACACAAGGAAAACATTTTTAAATTTTGTATCTTTATGGGATGATGGATGTGGTAAACTTACTGTAATCATTTCATGATGTACTTAAGTTAAATCATTATGTTGTACAACTGAACCTTAAGCAGTGCTGTATGTCAGCTGTATCTCGTTAAAACTGGAAGAAAAAAATATGGTGACCAGGAAGACTGTCAATGAAAGAGACTTTTTTTCCCTAGAAAATGTCACATAACTAAGGAAAGTGGAGAAGAGAAAACCTTAGCTCAGAGATAGTAATTTTTACTTTCTGGGACCTAAATGATAATTTTGTTACAGACCTTTTTTTCTTTTTGCCTGCGTTTTTCATACTAGTGTTTAAGCAGCCGTTGTTACAGCTTTGTAGTCTTTGCTCATATTATAATAAAGGAATAGCCAAAATAGATGTCCTAGGTACATAACTGTTCAGCTGCCAGTGCTAATTGTTCTGTAACATAACCACAGATGCTCATTCTTTTTTATTTATTTATTTGTTTGTTTATTTATTTATGTCTGCATTGGGTCTTTGTTGCTGCACGCGGGCTTTCTCTAGTTGCAGTGAGCGGGGGCTACTCTTCGTTGTGGTGCGTGGGCTTCTCATTACGGTGGCTTCTCTTGTTGTGGAGCACGGGCTCTAGGTGTGCGGGCTTCAGTAGTTGTGGCACATGGGCTCAGTAGTTGTGGCTTGCGGGCTTTAGAGTGCAGGCTCAGTGGTTGTGGCACACGGGCTTAGTTGCTCCGCGGCATGTGGGATCTTCCCGGACCAGAGCTCGAACCTGTGTCCCCTGCATTGGCAGGCGGATTCTTTACCACTGCGCCACCAGGGAAGTCCTGGGATGCTCATTCTTTAAACCAGGTTTATTTCTGACAAAAGAAATTAAAATAACATGAATAAGTTTTAAATGTAATGATCATATTATATTAAAGACATTACTTATGGGCTTAGTTAAAAGCCCTCTTTGTCTTGCTTAAGGGATCCAATCTGTGGGAATCTTAAAATATTAATAGAATCAGTTTGGGGTTTATTTTTATTTTTCCAGGCATGGCTGCCCCAGTGAATAATATATTCCGTTAAGATCCTTAAAAATGTTCCAAATGTGCTTGAAATAGAGGACTACAGTTTTTTGTTTGTTTGTTTTGCGGTACGCGGGCCTCTAACTGTTGTGGCCTCTCCCGTTGCGGAGCACAGGCTCCGGACGCACAGGCTCAGCGGCCATGATTCACAGGCCCAGCCACTCTGCGGCATGTGGGAACTTCCCGGACCGGGGCACGAACCCGTGTCCCCTACTTCGGCAGGCGGACTCTCAACCACTGCGTCACCAGGGAAGCCCAGAGGACTACAATTTTTAAGATTGAGTCTACCTCATTAGTGTTTCTCCAATTTTTTTTTTCCATCACCCTCAGAAGGAATACAATGTACATCACAGTCCTATACATAAATATGTGTTTGTGTGTGCCATGATAACACTGCACCATGCAACAGTCTTTATTCTTACTATTCACTTATATATGTGTAGTCAGCTTATGTAATGAAGCATTAGAGACATGGTAGGAAGGATTGAACTTTAGACATGGAAGGGCCAGAGAAAAGATGCGCCTTGCCTAAGACCACATAACTCATTCCTAGGCATTCTGGAGGAAACCAGAAAAAATGAATCTCTTATCCTTAAAATAACATACTGAAGTTATTCAGGTACTCATGAATATGTATATATTTGATATTTGATATTCAGGTACTCATGAGTATGTAGAACATTGCTTTTTAATTGACCCATGAACTGTGTCCATATTTCATTACTTAATATTTAGGCAAGACATAAACCATCTAAAGATTTCTAGTTTATTTGCCCAACCCTTTATAGATAGGGCCACATTCTTTAGCTTTTTTTTTTTAATTTGAAAAGTAATACAAGCATATAGTTATTTTAAAAAATAAACAACACAAAGAGTAATTTTTCACATCTCTCAACTTAAGTCATCCCTAATAAATAACCTATTTTGTACCTGTTTTCATTTCAGAACTTGGAGACTATTTCATCAGTTCAGATAGATGTATCCATTTTTATTTGCTGCATCATCTATTCCATTGTTTGAATATACCATAATTTGCTTAAAGATATGTCTGTTGTGCTCATTTGGTTCTTCCCAGTGTCTATTATAAACAATGTTACAATGAATATAAATCTGTAAGCACTTAAGAGCATATCTTAAAGTAAATTCCTAGGAGAGCTATTGCTAAATCAGGAGATACCTGCATTTAAAAATTTGACAGCTAGCGTCAGGGTCAAATTTAAATGAACCAAGATCAGTCATGATAACGTTCCTCCAGAGAGAAGTTGCTTAATTTCCTTCGGTGGCAACACATTCCAGTATCCAGAGTGAGTCACAAATAAAACGAAAGCACAATTATCAATAAGAACTTCCCCCTCAAACTTTCTATTTCTGAATTTTATATGTTGTGGTGGTTAATACTTTATTTTTTTCTTTTCTTTTAAATTTATTTATTTACTTATTTTTGGCGGCGCTGGTCTTCGTTGCTGCACACAGGCTTTCTCTAGTTGCAGCGAGCAGGGGCTACTCTTCATTGCCGTGCGCGGGCTTCCCACTGCGGTGGCTTCTCTCGTTGCAGAGCACGGGCTCTAGAGTGCAGCCTCAGTGGTTTCGGCGCACGGGCTTAATTGCTCCGCGGCATGTGGGATCTTCCCAGACCAGGGCTCGAATCCGTGTCCCCTGCATTGGCAGGCGGATTCTTAAGCACTGCGCCACCAGAGAAGCCCTAGTCGTTAACACTTTAAAAGGTTTGTTTCCCTTCATAATAATGCCTTAGGGAATACATGTGCCCCCAGCTCTTTTTCCAAAATTTACTACAACTTTTCACTAACAAAGAGGTAAAACCTTGACTCTGAATCCATGTTACAGTGCCACCCACGTTCAATCTGTGGGCCTTCTTGTTGTGCAATAGACTATAGTAGCACTGGAACCACCATTTACTACCTAATGCTTTCTTCCCTGTATTTAAATCTATAATTTTCCTTCTAAAGTGCCATATCAGCAAATATTTGTGCAGCTTTTCATAAAAATGAATGCACAAAATGCTACTTAGAGTTACACAGACCACGTTTAAAATTAGAATTCAGAAAAGCTCAGAGAAAATGACAGATAGCCACATTTCCAGCATTTATTTTCTTTGTAGCCATGTACAATTTGAAAACATTTGCTTTTACTATGGACCCTGTTAAAGGAACAGACAATACAGTTACATTTTATTTAGAATGGCTTTACATTGTGGTGATAGCTTTTTGTCTTAATATGTCTTGTATCCTACCTTGTGTTTGTAGAGTGAATTAAGGTCATTATTCAGATGATACATAGTCAGACTTTTGCATAGACTGAATCTTCAATGTAAATGCTACATAATATTTTTTATCAAATAATAACAGAGGAAAAGAAAAACAGCTATAGATGTTTAATAAGGAAAAACTGGCGTATAGAAAATACCAAAGCAGGTTACAATAGCAGGGTTTAAGCAAATTTTGTTTTTAAAATGTCATGTACATAGAAAAGAGTTTAACATCAGTTTTCTTTGGATAGTGGAACTATAGGTGATTTTAAAATATTTTTCTTTTAAAAGATTTTTTATTTTCCCACAATGAACATGCATGACCTTGCAATTTAAAAAGCCAGTGCTCTTTAAAAAATAATAATGTATTCCTTCAACTCTTCCTTTTCTATCTCCCCCCCCACTTTTCCATCAGTTTTCCTTCCTTAATCTTTTGTGTTTTTTTGTTTGTTTGTGTGTTTGCATTCTTCCTTGCTTTTGTCTTTTTGTTTTTCCTGATTATGATAGAGGACTAGTCCTATTCTCTCTTTAGGTATGTAAATCAAGGAGTGAATTCTCAAGAAGACAAATATGCATTACCACATCTGTGGATTTTCTACCCGTCTCTGCATTTGTTAGCTCTTCTTAGGTGGGAGAAGCCAATTACCACCTTTTGAGATGGGGGTAATTTTTCCTTTTATTTTCCAAATTTCATGCAATATTAATGTGACCATGTGAAAAATTTTATTCTCAGCCACTGCTAAAGACTGTGTGGAAAAGAGGAAAGAGTGAGGAGGGACAAGGCAGCCATTGACACTGGTTACATTAGGTTTAAAAATAACTATTTTTCAGTACTATAGAGAAACATATTTGGTGACATGAGTGGATTTTAAGGACAAATTCAGCATGCTATAATCTGTTAATAACTTTTCATCTGTTAGTTGTGTCAGTGTTTTTGAAGCCACTAAGTGTATTACCACCATTTTTAATGTTTCAGGTGTTCTTGATTCATTCCGAAGAGCTGACCAGTGGAAGAAATAAGAATACTCTATTATTTATGAATCACCCCACAGTAGCTCAAAATACACTGTTTGAATTTCTATTCTGAGCTTCTATGTCTTTTAACAATCTTTTGAAAAGGGTGCCTCAAATAACAGCAGATAATCACCAGGATGGGAGTGAATGACTTGTGGCAGATTCTGGAGCCTGTTAAACAACACGTCCACTTGCACAGTCTTGGTGGGAAAACCATTGCGGTTGATCTGAGTCTCTGGGTATGTGAAGCACAGACAGTCAAAAAAATGATTGGAACGGTCATGAAGCCCCACCTCAGGTAGAGTAAACGTGCTCAGAATATAAATAGATGATTGCATAAGCAGTGGATGTCTTGGTTTTGTTTCCACTTCATTTCTTTTGTTGTTGCTGTTTTACATTTTGAGATTTTAAAATGTATTAACGTGTCTCGATCTGCCATCTCCATATTGATAACACTATTTGTACCTCGTACCCTTTGAGCTTCAGACTGGTAATACTTGGCTGCCTATTTAACATATCCGCAAGTATGCTTCGATGACTAAAAGCCAGAAATTTGGGAGCCATTCTCCCCCTGTTTTGTCCTCCACACATCCAATCCATCAGAAGTCTTGCCACTTCTACTTCCAGAGTATACCCTGCGTTCACAGACTTCTCTCGATGTCCAGAAGCACTGCCTCAGTGGATGCCAATATCTCTTATCTGCCCTGCTGACATGAAATCTTCGCCAGTTTCCCTCCCTCCTCTCTTGGCCTCCTCCTCCAAACCAGCTTCCACATAGCAATTAGAATAATCATAAATCTCCTTTGCTAAAAGACACACAGTGGTCTCTCAGTCCCGTCTACTTAAAATCTTAACAAATAAAATGTTATTGCATATAACATTTTTTATATTAATGTTCTTGCCATTATGCCATACTGCTATGTTGACTTCTGCTATCAATATATGATGATTAATGTATTATTAACTTCTATATTTCAGGAACCTATTTTTTCGTATCTCATATTTAACGCTAATGGATGTAAAACTGGTGTTCGTTATGGAAGGGGAACCCCCAAAGCTGAAAGCTGATGTCATAAGTAAGAGGAATCAGATTCGATATGGACCTTCGGCAAAAACATGGTCTCAGAAAACAGGGAGATCACACTTTAACTCAGTCTTAAAGGAGGTGAGCATTCAGATATGATCTAATAATTCTGATTTGAATTATAGAGTATACTTTATGCTGATAAAGCTTTTCGTTCAGTATCCTTAATACTTATTAACTTTACTGTGACTAGAAGGACAGTGTGAATAGAGAAGAGAGTTTAAGTTTTGGAGTGAAACTCACCTGCTTTCAGATTCTGACTGGCCATTAGAAACTCTGAGACAGTGGGCAAGATTTTTAACCTGTCTGCCTCGTTTCCTACTCTGTAAAATAGGATAGTAATACTTTACAGGGATATGGTAAAAATTAGAGAAAATATATCTAAAACAACCGGTACATAGTCAGGACTTAATATGTAACATTTTATGACATCTTCAGCACTTAAAGAATTCCCAGGATAGAGGTCTCATTAATTCATACTTTACTCATTCAGGATTAATGAGAGTTCATAGACAGAATACGTATTTGGCTTCCTTTAGGGCTTTGTAATTTTAAAAAGTACTCAGTTATATTTTAATATATTTATACGTTATAAAATATATATTTTTATAAAAATTTAAAAAGAAGAGAAATCTATAATACGATAAAGTAAGTAAAACAATAGGAAGCTATTATTATCTTGTCTCTTTATTTTTTTATAAATTTATTTATTCATTTTTAGCTGCGTTGGGTATTTGTTGCTGTGCGGGGGCTTTCTCTAGTTGCTGCGAGCTGGGACTACTCTTCCTTGCAGTGTGTGGGCTTCTCATTGCAGTGGCTTCTCTTGTTGTGGAGCACGAGTTCTAGACACACGGGCTTCAGTAGTTGTGGCTCGCGGGCTCTAGAGCACAGGCTCAGTAGTTGTGGTGCACGGGCTTAGTTGCTCTGTGGCATGTGAGATCTTCCCCGACCAGGGCTCAAACCCGTGTCCCCTGCATTGGCAGGAGGATTCTTAACCACTGCGCCACCAGGGAAGTCCCCTGTCTCTTTTTTAAGGGTATATGTTTTAAAAAATTGCAGTAATCATTCACAAATAATTTTTATCTGGAGTTTTCACTTAACATACCCATGTTTCCCTGTTGCCATATTCTATTCAAAATCATTACTTTAATGATGGTACAGCATGTATGAAATCATTCCCCATGATTGTATATTGTATTGTATACTGTTTGCTTTTTAGTTCTTCTCTATTATACAGGAAATTATGATGAACATTTTTTTGTAAGCATAGCATTTTCTTGTGATTTTAATATAAAATTACCCAAAGTGGGATTGATAGACCAAAGTTTAGGAATGATTTTATAACTCTTGCCAATTACTTTCTACCAGTACAGATATGAAATAGGCAATTTCATTGCACCCACAAGATTATTGGATATTGGGAGGTTTATCTTTGTACTATTTAGTATGGAAAATCGAAGACATTTCTTTGTTTATATAATACGTATAAATACATATAATACATATTTAATATGTATTGTTCTTTTAATGGTGAGGTTAAACATCTAACTTAGTTTTAGTCTCCTCTGGGTAATGACCATCATATCCTTTCCCCACGTACCTTTTGAGGTTTTACTTTTTCTTTTGTTCATATTCTTTATATACTAAGGAAGTAAACCTTTTATCATGTTTGCTTTGAGTTCCTATCCCTGTTCTTCTTTTTAATGTTGTTTAAAATTTTAATTTCTTTTAAAAGGTATTGCATAAATTAAAAAGCATTTTTCTCCAGAAGTTCTATTTTCTGTTTTTATGTGATTAACAATAATAATTTTCAGTTGGTGACTGTTCTGCCTTAAGGACTATCAGTAATTGAAGAAAATACCTCTACTGAATTCTAGTTATTTCTTGTGTAATTAGTTCCTGGAAATATCTGTGGTTTACGTACTTAAGGCATTAACTCCCCAGTGTAACGCAAAAAGATGCTTACGTCCTTTTGAGAAAATTGCTCTATGCCTATTTCTTTTTTTTTTTTTTTTTTTATGCCTATTTCTTTATTTCTCTAATTGTGGTGTTCTTAGGCATTTTGTATCGGTTCAGTGTTGCCTGCCCATTAATCATTACCATATTTCTGTACACTCAGTTACTAAGCCTTACGTTCTCCTAATCTACTGCCATTTTCAGTTACAAGCATGAAAAGCACACATTAGTCCTCCAACACAACCTCCACCCCATGTGATAGAGAGTTAGGGTAGAGAAAATTGCAACCAACCTCATCACAAATTCTGTGCTGGTTTTTGAAAAGAGTTGGAACAGAATCTGAAATGACTTTTAAACCCTTGTTGTTTTTTTATGAAAGGATACTTTTTATGTATGGGTAAATTAGAAACAACTATGGTGTTGCAGTAAAGCAGCACCTATAACAAAACTGTCTCTCTAAAGTCACCCAGCCAGAGTTCTGAAAAGCACCTTTTTTTTTTGACATAGTACTTTGTCCTTCCGAACCTTGTCCGCCTTGGGCAACATCTGGCAGAGGTTTTTATTACATCATATAGCATGCAAACAATTAATCAGTTAAAGCAAAAGAGATGATCTTTTCTCTGTCTCTAGAAACTAGGTAAATAGCCTCTTTTCCTCACCATATCCAGTATTCCTCAGTGATAGAATGAGAGTATCACATATGACAAGAAAGAATGCACTAGGCTGTAAAGCTAAACTATAAGCTACTCAGCTGGGTTAAATTCATAACCCCAAGAGAACCGCAAATTGATATAAACATCCTGTACAGACATTTGACTTACTAGGAGCACTCCAACAACGGGCCCCTGTGTGGCTCCCCGTAACGTGAGAGTTTCATCGTACAGGGGAGGTGATAAGAAGTGAACTTTAAGGTCTCAAGCCAAAATTGTGTAATAGCATCTTCTTTGGAAGAGCTCATATTGGGAGGACCATCATGTGAGAAGAATTGCTGTAGTTTTACAGATGTAAATGTTAATGTGATTAATTATTATTATGTCAAGATATTTCCAGACTCTTGAGATAATAGCATTGAACAAAACAATGAAAATTGCATATTCATTACTTTTAAAAGTACTTTTTAAATTGTTTTTAATAGAATATGGATTACTTTTTAATTGACATTAAAATTTTTAGCTTTTCCATACAGAAAATTTTAAACGAATACAAAAGTAGCCCATCACCGATCTTTAACAATTATCAACTCTTGACCAATTTTGTTTCATCTATACTCCCACCCACTCCTCTACTCCCACATTTTTTTTTTTAACATCTGTATTGGAGTATAATTGCTTTACAATGGTATGTTATTTTCTGCTTTATAACAAAGTGAATCAGCTCTATATATACATATATCCCCATATCTCCTCCCTCATGCATCTCCCTCCCACCCTCCCTATCCCACCCCTATAGGTGGTCACAAACCACTGAGCTGATCTCCCTGTGCTATGCGGCTGCTTCCCACTAGCTATCTGTTTTACACTTGGTAGTGTATATATGTCCATGCCACTGTCTCACTTGGTCCCAGCTTACCCTTCCCACTCCCCGGGTCCTCAAGTCCATCCTCTACGTCTGCGTCTTTATTCCTGTCCTGCCCTTAGGTTCTTCAGAACCATTTCTTTTTTTTAGATTCCATATATATATGTTAGCATACAGTGTTTGTTTTTCTCTTTCTGACTTACTTCACTCTGTATGACAGTCTCTAGGTCCATCCACTTCACTACAAATAACTCAATTTCGTTTCCTTTTATGGATGAGAAATATTCCATTGTATATATGTGCCACATCTTCTTGATACATTCATCTGTCATTGGACACTTAGGTTGCTTCCATGTCCTGGCTATTGTAAATAGAGCTGCAATGAACATTGTGGTACATGACTCTTTTTGTATTATGGTTTTCTCAGGGTATATGCCCAGTAGTGGGATTGCTGGGTTGTATGGTAGTTCTATTTTTTAAGGAACCTCCTTACTGTTCTCCATATTGGCTGTGTCAATTTACATTCCCACCAACAGTGCAATAGGGTTCCCTTCTCACCACACCCTCTCCAGCATTTATTGTTTGTAGATTTTTTGATGATGGCCATTCTGACTGGCGTGAGGTGATACCTCATTATAGGGTTTTTTTTTGGTTTTTTTTTTGCGGTACGCGGGCCTCTCACTGCTGTGGCCTCTCCCGTTGCGGAGCACAGGCTCCGGACGCGCAGGCTCAGCGGCCATGGCTCACGGGCCCAGCCTCTCCGCGGCATGTGGGATCTTCCCAGACCGGGGCACAAACCCGTGTCCCCTGCGTCGGCAGGCGGACTCTCAACCACTGCGCCACCAGGGAAGCCCCTCATTATAGTTTTGATTTGCACTTCTCTAATGATTAGTGATGTTAAGCATCCTTTCATGTGTTTGTTGGCAATCTGTATATCTTCTTTGGAGAAATGTCTATTTAGGTCTTCTGCCCATTTTCGGATTGGATTATTTGTTTTTTTCATGAGCTGCATGAGCTGCTTGCAAATTTTGGAGATGAATCCTTTGTCAGTTGCTTCGTTTGCAAATATTTTCTCCCTTTCTGAGGGTTGTCTTTTCGTCTTGTTTTTGGCTTCCTTTGCTGTGCAAAAGCTTTTAAGTTTCATTAGGTCCCATTTGTTTAATTTTGTTTTTATTTCCATTTCTCTAGGAGGTCCTACCTTATTCTGAAGCAAATCCCAGACATAATATTGTTTTAGTATTTCAGTACCTTTCTCTATAAGATAGGGGCTCTTAAAAAATAAAAACATAGCCACAATATAATTTTTATTATTGCATCTAAAAGTTTAATACTTATACTGTGCCATTAAGTATTCAGTGCTCAAGTTGCCAGTTGTTTCTTAAATGTAATAAGTTTTAAAACACCTAAATAGCTACTATTAATACTTGTGATATAGAATTAAGTCAAACACTGAAAAAAGCAGCAATAAAAATGTTCTTAGATTTGTTGCACCTACTTTTTCTTTTCAGTGTCTTGATATGCTGGAATGCTTAGGAATTCCCTGGGTCCAAGCTGCTGGGGAAGCTGAAGCCATGTGTGCTTACCTCAATGCCAGTGGTTATGTAGATGGCTGCCTCACCAATGATGGAGATGCTTTCCTTTATGGGGCCCAAACTGTTTATAGAAATTTCACTATGAATACCAAGGTATTTTTTCTTTCTCTTTTTCAGCATTTGTTTTACACACTACTTTTTTTAAAGCGATTAATTCTTGGCACTTAACAATTGCTAAGTAAAATGTTTACTGTTACTAATAATATCAGTGCCACATAGTTCATTCTCTTTGAAATGTGGATTTCTCTCCTAAGGGCTTGACTTGTTTCACAAGGTTTAATTCTAAATCAGTTTCAACTATATATTATAAAATTGCATACAATATGTATTGCTTTGACCCAGAATTTGCACTTTTAGTAAGCCTCAAAAACACCTCCAAATATGCAAGGAGAGATATACAAGGATGTTAACTGCAGCATTGTCACTAATTACAAAAATTTGGCAAACACCCAAATGCCCATTGATAGAGAATGGCTAAATACAGCCACAGTTCTCATGGAGGGAGGTAATACATGGGACATTTTGGTTGTAATTATTCAAGGTTGGGCAAGGGAGACTATGGACCTTTCGTGGATTAGAGCCAGGGAGACTAAACCTCTTGCCAAAAAATTCTGTTATCTTTCTGAAAATGCTCCCAGTATCCCCATTGAGAAACACTGCCTTAGAGTCCGTCTAATGTAAGCAATCATTAAAAAGGTATGTATTATTGATATTAAAGATATCCAGTTATATTAGTGGGCAAGAAATATTGCAAAAGAGTATTTTTATATAATCCTATTTTTACTTAAAAATAGAGTAATAAATATTTGTATGTATGTCAAAGAACATGTTTCTTAGAAGAATATGCCGGATGCTGTTAATGATAGTTAACTTCTGATGATGTAATTACAATAATATACAATTTCTATAATATACATTTTACAGTGCTTAATTGTACAAGATGAAAATCTACTTTTGTAGACACCAGAAAACAATAAAGAGGAAAAAGTGACTACTATAGTTAATTTTTAAAAGCCATTTTTGAAACTATGACTTTATTTCCAGATATTGAAGTGTTAGATTTTATGAAGATTCTGGTGATCAGGATAATTTTAAACTTTTAGGAATAAACATTTAGAGACAGCTTTGACAAATTATTTTTTATAATGTTGTTTTTGTTTAGTTTTTTGAAGATGAAACTGAATCTGTTCTTTCTTCTAGGACCCACATGTTGACTGTTATACAATGTCATACATCAAGAGTAAACTAGGTTTGGATAGAAATGCTCTGGTTGGGCTAGCAATACTACTTGGCTGTGATTATCTTCCAAAGGTATGCTGAAATTGCCATATTTATTTACTATTCATAATGGGTTTTTTTTGATACCTTACGTGCTGCATAGATATGAATACAATATCATTTTATATAATTAAGAACCTAATTTAGAATACATGTGTAATAAACTATTCAGTAGCTAAAATAATCAGCATTTCAAGTGGCATTAAACAGCTTGCTCATCATGATACTGAATGGTATAAACGAGAATAGAATCGTAACTAGTACCACAGCTTCAATCTCAGTAAGCCATTCCTCCAAGAGATTCACATTCACGTTTGACTGTCCTTTTAGAGAAATGTAGGAATTACTCTTTCCTTGTCTTGTGCCAATATTAGTTTCCATCACTGTTGTCTGAGTTCTGCATCTCCATTTTAGCTATTTGTGCACATGCTCAGTGTTATTGTTACTGTTGCTACGCAACATGATCATTGGGTTAAGCTATTCATCCTTCCGTGCCTCTTAGCATTGCACTGAGTTTTGCTCATGAAAACCTTTTATTTTATATCTTAAGATACACAATATAGGGCTCTCCTGGTGGCACAGTGGTTGAGAGTCCGCCTGCCGATGCAGGGGACATGGGTTCGTGCCCCGGTCCGGGAAGATCCCACATGCCGGGGAGCGGCTGGGCCCGTGAGCCATGGCCGCTGAGCCTGCGTGTCCAGAGCCTGTGCTCCACAACTGGAGAGGGCACAACAGTGAGAGGCCCGTGTACCAAAAAAAAAAAACTAAAAAAACAAGAACAAAAAAAAAAAGATACACAATATAGTTCTCTGTAACAGGTATAATAGGTGAGGGATGAATTAAGAATTACCATGATAACCACATTCATAAATATGATGTTTAAATATATAAAATGACTTGTACTGTGGCTCCTACTATTTTTGTATAGTCCTGTTATTATGTCCCTGCTGATCATCTCTGTATCCTTACTAAACCCCTCATTATACTATAGACTCTATCCCCAAGAGAAGCCTAAAGAAGGATGACGTATAATTTTTTTTCACTAGAGCTCGGGAGAGGAAAAAATAGTAGGATAGTAAAATTATTAACTCTAATTTCTAATCTGTGTCACCAGTGACCAAATAGAGACATCAACAATTTTTTTTAACTAGTAAAAAAAGAAAACAGGAGGAAAAGAACTGTTAAACAACATAGAAAATAATTATTATAGTTCTCATTCTGAAATAGATTTGTTTCCCATATGTAATTGTATCATAATTAAAGTCTAAAAACAGCTCAGTGTTGAATATAAGAAAAACGTTGCAAACTTGAACTCACAGAAACCAATTTTAGCTGCAGTGGTATTATACACTAGCCTTACCTATTTTGATTTTTTGTTTCTTTGCAACCAAAACTGCTATCTATTTATATCATTGTACTTAATGATCTTTAAGACTCTACTATCATGATTTGCCTAAAAAAATTTAATATATAACTAAATGCTAATACATGAAGGGTGACATACAAAATATCCAGCAACTGTTTTACTAAAGACATAGGCTGTAGTGATGGAAAATGCTTCTGGATACCCTCTGTTGTGCTATGTGTTACCCTTTTAGCTGAAACCCGAGTGTAGGTGGGTTGGAAAGGGAATTCATTTTAAGGGGGAGACCCCTTTGCTGGCAGGCACTCAGGGTACATGGGCATTGGCTATTTACTAACCAGTTTAGAAGTATTTTAACACTGGTATGTCTCTCCTGATGCGTATCGGCTAAAGAACAGCCTTGCTTACAAAGACATATTAATAAACTTTTATAGGAACTGGAAGACTCAATGTAAACCAGAAATTGTCATGTGAATATACATTTATTTATATATTTTTTGTGTAGGAAACTTAATGCTTATTTTAATTTTCTTAAGTTATTAATTTCAAGAGTTAACTTGGAATTCCCCTTTGTTCTCTTTGGTTGTTTGGATCTTTAAATATTATATGTTCATATAATCAAATGAACATGCCTTTTCCTGATTACAAATATAACAGAAAGTTAGGTCAAATTAAAATACTATCAAAATAATTAACATAGAAAATGAAAGCCCTCTAAAATTCTGTTCCTCCCTCTCTTAAAATAAACAGTCAGTGGTTTGGTATATAACACTGACTTTTTTGTTTGCATAAGTTAACAATATAATTGTTATTTAACTTACAAATCTAAATCATACTGTATGCTATTCTGCAATTTTCATTTTACACGTAACAATGTGTCTTGCACACAGTTACCTCATTCTTTGAGCTACACAATCTTACATTGAATGGACATCTCACCCTTCATTTATCTATTCCCTAGTGATTAACGTTTGAACTTCTTTTCCCACTTTCTGAAAGGGAGTCCCTGGAGTTGGAAAAGAGCAAGCATTAAAACTTATAAAGATTTTGAAAGGACAAAGTTTACTTCAGAGGTAACTAAAAATTACTTTTTCTCGTGACATTAGTCTTTTATTCTTGTTGAACTTAATAGTGAATACAAAAAGTATTGTGCTTTCCAAAAAAAGGTTTTGTATTTTTGAGATGATCTGTATTTTTATTTAAAATCAGTTATTTTATTTATTCAGAAGTTTTCCAAAGAAAGCTGAAAAGTATATGTCCTAAGCCATATTTTGTTTTTTTCAATATTATTAGCTCATTACAAACACAAGTAGTAAGATACCAAATGCGTTTATTTATAACCATGGGCATTTGCCACAGGCTATTTTAGACTATTTCATCAACAAATAAAGATAAACTAACATTAAATTAATTTTATATTTTAAATTACTTTCTATATAAATACTTTGATACTATATTTTTCTATAAATGAAATGCCTGACATGTTGCAAATATTTAATAACACTTGATCAAAAATTTTTCTTGACTGCCCTTTGTTCTATAGCCACAAATTTAGTAATATGTTAATTCTAATGAATTAACTGTACAACCTGAGGACTCAAGGCAGTTAGGATACAGAGTGTATTAAAGTTTACAAACTGTGCTATTTAGTTTTGAAAGCATGTCAGTTATATTTACTTGATGAGGGCAAAGTTTTATAAAAATTAGTACTTATGATGGTAAAGTATGGAATGAACAAAAAGGAAAGGAGCTAGGACTCTGGGAGACTTAAAATAGTCCTTTTGCCTCCAGTAGCTACGAGACAGTGAGTACATGAAAGGAAACATCAAGCGGTAGAAATGAAGAAGGGGTGACCATGAGAAAGATTTCAAATAGCCATGCTCTTTCTTTTAGTGCTTCTCTTTCAGCTGTAAAGCTACTGATCGATCTAAGACTTTAATAAACTCCTTATTAACATCAGTGATTACTGTTTTCCGAAGCAAAAAAAAAGCAAAGGTATACTTTGGCTTGGGGGTGAGTTGAGGAATCATTTGGGAATTGTGAAGAATAAAATAAAAAAGGAAAAGCAAGCAAATGTGGCACCTGGCTAACTACAAATCATTCTTATTGGGACAGTTTCAGCAAATATGTACTTTTGGCAACATTTTATAAAATGTTTGCCTTCACGCTTGAAAATAATGAGGTTACATTTTGTTGTAATTATCTGTCATTCCAATTTTTATTAATTTAGACTAAACTTCCCGCTAGTTATTTTTAATTTTTTATGTTTTTATGTCCCCAGACTGGGACAGCAACTTTACCGCCAAAGGAAAAATTAAGTAGGCGGGGGAAAGGAACAGAATAGCCTGATATTTGAGAACATGGCATTTTGGTGACCTTATCATTTATTTTTTCTTTTTAATACCATTTTCTTTTAAAGGTTTAATCAGTGGAATGAAAAATTTTGTTACTCTAATTCACAGCCAGCAGTTGTTAGCAAACTGGCTCATTGCTCTGTATGTTCCCATCCAGGTAAGCAGACATAGGGAATGATATCTCTAGAATATTATTGCCTGATACCTAGGTTTTCATCTCTGTTCTTATAGTACTTTTTACATACCTACCTTCCTTACCAGATTGCGAACCCTCAGTGTCAGGAGTTGTGTCACATACACACAGTAGGCACTTGATAAATATTTATTGAATGAAATAACGTGATGTAAATGATAAATATAGGATATGTGCAGTTTCGAACTATGTTATCAGATTACTTTGATCCTAAAATTATGTTTTCAATATAGAAATCCATTTTAAGGAAAAAAATTGTACTGGTAAATCTTAGGGGAAAATGGAAGTGAAATCATTTGCTTATGTATCAGTGATTTATATTCATATATTTAAAGAATTCTTAACTGTCCTATAGTGCATTTTTATTGGGTGTGAAGATAGTGACTTAAAACTAATTTCTAATACATGTTCACTGTTAAGTAGCTTGGACCCTGTTCATTAGTCTTGATAAAAATATGATGTCCCTGACATGTACTGGGTTAAAAAGGCCTTTTGCTCTCAGGAGAGATTAAGAGATCATGTTAGCTCATCTTTTAAAAGAAATTCTGCTTTATCTATTTGTCTTAATATGTTTTCATTAGCCTTTTAAAATGATAGATGAAACCATGGAAGAAATCAATGTTTTTATAGATAAAATGCCATTCTGTAGTTTTTTTGGCACCTTATAAATGACGATTTTGGTCATATCAGTTATGTAGGTTCTTTGTGTTCTCAAAAGTGTTGAAGGTAGTCATGCTTTCCTTTTACTGGGCACTAGGACCCCACACCCAGGCCACAATCAGAATTTATGTTCCAAGCATAGTTTAAAAATAGCTATGTAGTAACTGAGAGCTAGCCACTAGCAGAGGTAATTAACTGCTCTATTCTTTTCATATTCTTATTAAAGAAACCATTTCATGAATTATTCTATTAACTAAATAATGTTTTACTAATAATGTCCTTTTTTCTTGTATGTAGCTACCACATACACCACAGTTTTCCATTTGAGATGATTATAAAGGTATAATTTCATATTACAAATTAACACTTTCAGACAGAAGGGTAATTTACAGAAAAAAATAGCGTCATGTGATAGTAATAGCTAAAGATCTACTTTATCGTAAGAATTATTATTGTGTTCATTACTCTATTGGGCCTAAATGTATTGAAACCCTTCTATATGCTAGGCATTGTGCTAGGCAGTATTTGTTTTTGAAAATTTGGATGAGGGCAAAAAAAAAAATGTACACAGAAGGTAATTCTAAAAAGCAGTGAAAGTCATACTTTTTGTGTCTCCATGAAGGTTCACCTAAGGATCATGAACGTAATGGATGCAAATTATGTAAAACTGATCGATATTGTGAGCCACATGATTATGAATACTGTTGTCCTTGTGAGTGGCACCGAACAGAACATGAGAGACAACTAAATGCAGTAGAAAACAGTATTAAGAAGTAAGTTTTTTGTGCTCATTGTTTCCTGATGTGGCCTATTTATACACCTGTGGTTGAATTATTTCCGCATAACTTTCCCCCATGTAGGTTAATAACGTTTCACAAAATCCTTTTATAGATTCTGTTCAAAAATTAGGCTATCTTAGAAGATAGCAATTTAATAATGTTTCATCGAGAAGCTTGATGACTAGGATACTTTACAAGGACACTTTCCATTAAATGAGAAGAGATTAAATGGATGATTTTAGAGTCTATCTAAAATTGCCTGATTGTATTAATAACATGTATATAACTTATTTTCAGGAAAGCTTGCAGTTGTCAGGGATTCCCATTCCATGAGGTAATGAGTAATAATTCAACCATGTGTTTATCTCAGAAGCTTTTTTTAAAAGTTTGACATGTCAATTGCTATTTTCTGTTCTCTTGCTAGGTTATTCAAGAATTCCTTTTGAACAAGGATAAATTGGTGACGGCAATCAGGTACCAAAGACCTGATTTATTATTGTTTCAGGTATCTGGAGATAAATTCTTATTTTACAGTGTGAAGTTGGATACTAGGAAGATAAGAAGGGGTAATCACTTTGACTGATCTGAGAGGAGTTTGAAATAGATGGCTCTTGAGTGCACATGTGTTTTTCAGCATTTATATCTAATCTTCATTCCTTTGCCACACAGTAACTATACTTTGCAGCCCATAAGACAAATCACAATTATGCTGTTCTTTACAAGACACCTTAAAGACCATGTACAGATGTATTGTATTCAGGGATATATTGGGGGAGAGATGCTAATAACCAGAGAATGTAAAGATATATATTGTTATTGTATATTATTATGGAAGACAGTATATTGTTATGGAAGACAATATAGTTTACAAGTGCATTGGGATTTGTAATCAGTGACCTAAATTTAAATTTGGACAGTCCGTCGCTTACCATGTGACCCTGGATATGTGTTTTCCTCAAAATAGAAATAATATTACTTATCTTGTGAAGTCACTATGCAGATTCAATGAGATTATTTATATTAACCCCTACTGTAGTAGCTAAAGAAACAGAGTGGCTCAATAAATTGTAACTACTTGTTGCTTGGCTCTACCAACAACAGTAGTAATAATGGCAACCAACATTCATTGAACATTTAAAATTTGCTGTTATATTTACCACATTACATGTAATCTTCCCTAACTTTATAATGTGTGTGCCGGATTATATTTTACAGAGGGAAAACCTGAGGCTAAAAGAGGTTAAGTAATTTACCCAAATCCAGGAAATATTCTGGCCTTCAAACCCAGAACCCTCACGCTTACATCGTTGTGCCATATTGCCTCCTTAGGAGGCTCACTGTTCTTTCTGGGAATATTCTCGTTGATACAACTTTAACTAATGTTATCTCTTAAGGAAAAGATAATATCACCCTGAGAGTGCTGTTTGTCTCCAAGAGATAACAAGATCTTGTTTTATTTTTATTATATTTACAGAGATTTGCTCTTGAAAAAATGGAGTGGCCCAGTCACTATGCATGTGAGAAATTGTTGGTACTGTTGACCCACTATGACATGATAGAAAGAAAGCTCGGTAGAAGGAACTCTAATCAACTACAGCCACTTCGGTAATATAAAGAATCGTATGATAAGTCCCTGTGTTTCCACTGGAATATCTTATCTAAAATATTCTTCTTAGTATCTTCAATAGTGGGATATATATCTCTTTGTTTTATAAAAATGGAGGAAAGGTCCACTGGAATATTAAAAGCTTATTCAGGGCTTACAGTCAAGATAACATAGTAAGTTCATGCTCTGACACACTTCTCTGCCTCAAACACGTAGTAATAATAGACTATTAAAAGAAATAAATATAAAAAGATATAGATTAACTAGATAATTATTCCTGTGGACCAGAAAGGGGACAGAAATGTAAAGTGAATGGAGGGACTGAAACTGCGAATTGGTGGCTCTCAGTGAAGGGTATATGATTATTCATTGTACTCTTCTTGAAACTTTTCAAAATAAAAAGTTTTGGGGAAAGTGTTAAAGAAAAAAGATAAGCTACAAAGGAGTGACAGTCTGCTAGCATACATCTTTCACGACAATAGTAGACTCCAGAAGATGATGGAGTAATATTTCAAAGCTTTGACTAAAAATAATTGGCAACCCAGACATCATTAAAATTATTCACTGGTTGGCAAGGCATTTTCAGACATATGAAGACTAAGAGTTTTCCATTCACAGACCCTCATCAAAAGCACTGTTAAAGGATGACTTCAGCAAGAAGAAAAATGAACTCAGGGGGAAGATGTGGATAACAACTAACAGTGGCCAGCATACAAACTGATAAAACATGTTTAGCTAATTTAATAAATGGAATGGAAAAAATTTGTATATAAATATCTTAATAATGCTTGATGGTTAGTATATGATGATGATAATAAACTAAAACTCCCAAAGTATGCATGTAAACAGTTAAGGGTAACCACTAAAACATTAGAAATACAATCTCTATCTTTAAAACCAATACATAAAATAAGAAAGTAAAACTATCAAACCGGAAGAATACAGGAAGGTGAAAGGTGGAAATAGCATAGAAAATCTTAGTAACCAAAAACACAAAATAAGATGTATGAATGAATCCAACTATATCAGTAATCATAATAAATGTAAGTAGATTAAACTCATTATTAAAAGACATTATATCAGATGAGTAAACAAAATTCAACAATAGTCTGCTTTATATAGGGCATGTGCAGAATAAGACTATGTTAAGTTTGAAAATAAAGAGATTTAAAAGATTTAACCAGGCAAATATTTACCAAAGTGATGTAGCAAAATTAACAGAAGCAAAAAAGACTTTAAAACAAAAATCATTATTATGGAAAAGAGGAACACTGAATAATAATGAGAGGAAAAATCTACTGATAAGATCTAACAATTATAAACTCTATCTTTTAAATAACAAGTCAAAGGAATAGCCATACAATAATTCTTAAAACATTTTTAGAATATTAGTAAAACAATAAAAATTAATGGGAATTGAATTATTCAATCTACAAATTGAAAATTTCCAAATAACTCATGCAATTAAACCTCATTAGATGAGTTTTTTTTTTTTCCAGAATTGTTAAAAACCGAATCAGAAATGGAGTTCATTGCTTTGAAATAGAATGGGAAAAGCCTGGTATGTATACACTTTAAGCAAAATTTATAACATTTGGTCATGTATGTTTAGCAAATATCATATACATAGGTAAAACATATGTATGTATATAAAAAATAAAGACGAAAATATATCACATACATCAAGGATTAATTTCATAGTTTACCTGTGCTATGTAAACAGCCGTTGACTAATAGTAAATATTTAAAACTTAAGTAATTTTATTTCAATGTCTTAAATTGATATATCTTTTGTAATTAATGTTTACGAAAACAATATGGAAATAGTTTTTATTTATATTTCTCAAGAAAATACTGCTACAAATGGTCTAGTCATTGGATTTCATTGTATAGCTGGGTCTAAAGAAATCAGGGTTGCTGTAAAGCACCTGGGGTGCTCTTCCTCTCCTTTCTTTACTCTGTTTAGTTTTCATGGGATTTTTTTTTTTTTTTTTTTTTTTTTTTTTGGTTTGGTTTTTTTTTTTTTTTTTTTTTTTTTTTTTTTTTTTGGCTGAGTTGGGTCTTTGTTGCTGCGTGCAGGCTTTCTCTAGTTGCGTCGAGCGGGGGCTACTCTTCGTTGTGGTGCGCGGGCTTCTCATTGCAGTGGCTTCTCTTGTTGCAGAGCACCGGCTCTAGGCATGCGGGCTTCAGTAGTCGAGGCTTGCGGGCTCTAGAGTTCAGGCCAGGCTCAGTAGTTGTGGTGCACGGGCTTAGTTGCTCCGCAGCATGTGGGATCTTCCCGGACCAGGGATTGAACCCGTGTCCCATGCATTGGCAGGCGGATTCTTAACCACTGCGCCACCAGGGAAGCCCTTCATGGGAATTTATAATGGTCAAATTACTCTTCTCTTCTACAGGCAGAAATACAGTGAACTCTGAATTAGCTCCAAAACTGAAGGCAAGGAAAGCACAGATCATTTAAAGTGGAAAATAATGGCAAATTCATTTCTATTTGGCTTTGAAATTAGATTGTATAATTACATGTGAATGAGTGAGAGAACAGATTTGAAATGAAATGAACGTTGTAAGTAACTTTGAAGAATTAAATGATAAAGAATTAGATAAGTCGTTCTAAGCAATAATAGGAAAATAGCTAAAGAATTTTGAAAACTGTTTAGGAACAGATCCACCAACTGTAGTAGATTTTCAGGAAAGACAATGGCATTAACCCAGTTTGGCAGTGCATCTCCTTTGTTAAGAACTGAGGATTGGGTGCCCACTTTCACTTATCCTTGTAGGAGTCATCCCTTAAGGGGAAAAAATGTACCCCACGCTACTTTAACTAAGAAATAATTCTAAGTTCACTTGTTTCCATTGTTTCTACTTTAAACTCATCAACGAATAGTTTCATTATAGTTTGGCTTCTTATGGAGTTTTCCCCTCATATAAGATAAATACAAGAATCTAGTCTACTATTTACGTATCTTATTGTAAGTTTACATACAAGCATTCTCATGTTCACTTGTCAGGCGCTTGTGAGTCCAGTAAGCCCGGGTGTGTCCTCAAGAGACTGATAACCTTTGAAACAGCAATCTGGAAAATAGTGATAGTTTTGATGACCATTTCAATTCTGTCCTTTTCAGAAGCTACCACTAAAGAAAGCCAATGTTAAAGTTTTAGGAAATTGTTTCCATTCTTTATCTGAAATTTTACACTTATTATATGAAATTAAAACAAACTAGCCTTATCTAAATAAAGTTTCCTAGTCTCTAAGCTGCTCCTACCATCTCTGAAGCAAGAGAAATTTAAAGTTCTAATTTAAAAGGAACCTCTTTTCAGCTCTTCCCAGGTGGAATAAAATCACTTCTGTACTAGTATCAACAGATTATTAGAATAGAGGTGTTATAAAGCAAGATTTGCATCAATTATCCACTTGTGAATGACCTAGTTGACTTGGTAGACTGAAGTTACCTGGAAAAATGTCATATGTCAAATCTGTAATTAAAGCTGTTTTATTGTATTTTTAACCCTTTAGAACATTACTCTATAGAAGATAAACCTGGAGAATTGGTTTTACAAACAGTAGAAGAAGAATCATTGTTTGAAGCAGCTTATCCTGAGATTGTTGCTGTTTACCAAAAACAAAAGTCAGAAATTAAAGGCAAGAAACAAAAAAGTAAGTCTCACATTTGATAACTATTTAGGCTGCACACAAATATTACAAAAGAGCGACCTGTCTTATTTGAATCTATCTTGTCCAGATTCTGCTGAAAGTTCTGTAAAATCAAGAGTAAGGATTGTACTTTTTCTTCTTTGTCTCGACACAGTTTGCTTTAAAATCTAAAAGCCAAGAATAGACCATTCTGCTCTGAGTCTGCTAACTTAACTGTTAGTAATTATACTAACCACTTATTGAGCAACTAGTATATATAACATATTTTGGATTATAAATACATTTTCTTTATTTCCCAGAACTCAGTGAGGAACTTACAACATTATTTTATAACATGCCACTCAATTATAGCATTGTTTCCAAAATAAAATATTTTATAATATTTTATTAATAATTATTTTGTTATAATTATGTATAACACAGTTTTCAGGAATGCTCTGAGACAAAAGGCAAAAATTGATCATACAGAAGATTTCTGATCTGAGCTTTTTAATTTGTTGACCCATGTTAGGAAAATAAAATAGATTTTAATTGTATTATATATATTTTTTTCTTTCAGGCGTGAAAACTAAGTCTAAAGGAAACAGTTTGCCAGAATCAGATGATATGATGACTTTTCAATCACACATGACTTTAAAACCCACACGTGAAATCTTTTCTAAGCAGAATTCCAAGTTAAATTTGGAAATTTCCCCTGATTCTACATTACCGCAGGAATCTACTGTGTCATTGAATACCTTGCTTTTACCTGAAGATGCTCCCTGTTTGAATACACAAGAACAGTTAATATCTTCTCCAAGACCTTTGGCTGTGCAGCAAATTAAAGCTATCAGTAAGTCTCTGATTACAGAATCTAGTCAACCCAGTACCTCATCCCATAATATATCTGCAATTGCTGATCTGCACTTGAGCACCATTGACTGGGAAGGTACTTCTTTTAGTAATTCTTCAGCTGTCCCAGGGAACACTTTTGCTCATGGTGTAAAATCGGAACTTGAAACAGCTATCCCTGATAGCTTTAAAAATATTACAGAGCAATTGTCATGTGAATCAGAATGGTGCACTACAAGCATTAATAAACGGTTCGATTGGGATCTTCGAAAGACTGATCCTGAAGAGCACCTGCTTTCTGGCATTACTGATTTACATCTTCCGGATTTACCTTTAAAGGAACGAATACATATAAAATCATCATATCCTCAGAATAATGTACAACCAGATGATGATCTGAAAACATTGTCCCTACTTACTGTACGAGAACACTGTATTGCTAATAGTAGCTCTGAGTGTCTATCACATCTTTCAAAAGATTTTCTAGGAATTCATTTGCAAAATGAATCTAGAAACTGTAAAGTCCTAAAAGGAAACCAGCTGTTTCCAGAAAACTATAAAGCAAATACTTCTATACCTTATTCTGTCAATAACCCAATAGTAAAGACCTCCAGTGTTAGAACTGGACCACCAAATACTGCTTTAGATTATAGTAGAAAAGTTGATGGGCAAACCACTCGGAAAACTGTAATGAAGAAGAGTGTTTGCCTTGACAAACATTCCTCTGGTGAAGAAATTATCCCAGAGCCTGGGAAAGCTAAGTCCACAGCTCAAAAAATGAAGCAGAATTCTCAGAAACATAGCGCAGCCCAGTTCAAAAGCAATGATGCCAACAAATTGAGTAACCCTAAAGCACATATTAAAGAAACTGAACAGTGTGTCCAGCGTTATAAAACAGCTGGAAATGAAGAAACCTGTTTCCAAGATGCAGCAAAAGGGTCTCTGAGTTTTCTACAGTGTCATAAGGAAAAAGACGTCTCTGGTACCTGTTCGGATAGTCCTCTTCCTTTAAGTCAGAGATTAAAACTAAGGTTCCAAAACACCTGAAATTCAATTTAAAATATTCAAGTATAACTTAGTATTCTAGTACTGTTGGCATTAGCAGAAGCAGAAGGAAGGTATCTAGTTAATGTATAGTAGAAAAATTTAACGTGATTCTATATGTTGTGAGACACTTGACATTTTAACCAAAACTGTAATAAGAAATGTTACCTAAAACTTTGGTTTTAAAAGGCGATTCTCTGCAGTGAAAACTTCAGATAATGTATATTTTTATAACATACTTTTTTCATTAAAAAAATATCTTTATTGATTATTCTTAAGTTATATCCTTAAAATGTTAGTATACTACTAGACAGAGTAAATGCTCCATTCATTTGCTCATTTTTACTCATTTCTTCCACAAGCCCCTAAAGCATTTTTTGATATTCCAGCTTGTTCCCAAGGGATAACTCTTTATAATTGCCTGCATTCTCACAACATCTTCTGTTGTGCCTTTCTGAGAGTTATATTTGCTTTCAATGTGAAGATACTTTCAGCTGCTCTTCCAGTTTCAGTAATCTTATTCTCTTTTGTGAGGGACAAAAAAAAAAAATGGAAAAGGAGGATGATGATCAATATATATAGTGAAAATCATGGTTGTGGTAGCTGAATAAACTGAGGAAATCTACTTCTTACATATCCCCAGAAGTCCACAGGTATGCCAAGTGGAAAAAGATTTGGAAAATAGAATGTATAACCAGAAGAGGATTAGGAACTTGCTCAGGGTCATACACGTAATTAATAGTGGTATGGGAACCAGATTTCTTGCCTCTCAATTCATTGCTTTTTCTGTTAAAATTTTTCTTCGATAGCACTTTTTTCTTCCCCTTTTGTTTTAACAGTGCATCTATACAATATCAACTACAGCACCTCCAAATATTAAGCTATTCATTTATTTATTTAGCATTCAAAAAGTCTAGAGGGAACCAGATTGGAAAGATAAAAGTAAAACCGTTGCTACTTGCAGATGACAAGATCTTGTGTTTATGAAATTCTGAGGAATTCACTAAAAACTATTAGAACTGATAAATGAGTTCAGCAAGGTTGCAGGATACAGGATCAATATATAAACATCAGTTGTATTTCTATACCCTTCTAATGAATAATACTAAATGAAATTAAGGAATTCTTTTTACAACAACAACAAAAAGAATAAAATACTTTGGAATAAATTTAACAATAGAAGTACAAAATTTTTACTCTGAAAACTAATAACATATCATCGAAAGAAATGAAAGAAAACCTAAATAAATGAAAAGACATCCCATGTTCGTGGATCAGAAGACTTAATATTAAGATGACAATACTCCCCAAACTACTTTGCATATTCAATGCAATCCCCATCAATTCTGGCTGATTTCTTTGCAGAAACCAATAAGCTGATTCTAAAATATATACGGAAAATTAAGGGATACAGAATAGGCAAAACGATCCTTAAAAAAAAAAAAAGAAATGGCAGGACAGGACTTGCCCTTCCTGATTCTGATTTCAAAACTTACCACAAAGCTACAGTAATGAAGAATGTGTTGAATGGCGTAAAGGTAGACATATAGATCAGTGGGATAGAACTGAAGGTCCAGAAATATGTCCTCACACTTACGTTCAGTTGATTTTCAACCAGAGTGCCAGGACAATTCAATCGGGAAACAATAGTCTTTGAGCAAATTCTACTGGTACAACTGAATATCCACATGCAAAAGAATGAAGTTTGATCTCGACCTCATACAATATAAAAAAACACACAAAAATGGGTCAAAGACCTAAATGTCAGATCTAAAACTATAAAACTCTTAGAAGAAGACATTGACGTAAATCTTTGTGACTTTGACTTAGGCAAGGGTTTCTTAGATACGACACCAAAAGCTCAGGCAGCAAGAAAAAATAAATTGAACTTCATCAAAACCAGAAACATTTGTGTTTCAGGGGACATCATCAAGAAAATGAAGAGACAACCCACAAAATGGGAGAAACTATTTGCAAATCATAAATGTAATAAAGGGGCTTATATCTAGAGGGACTCATATAAAGAACACTTACAACTCAATAATAAAAAGACAAAAGTGGGTAAGATATCTGAATAGATATTTCTTCAAAGAAGACATACAAATGGCCAACAAGTGGATGAAAACATTCTCAACATAATTAGTCATCAGAAAAATGCAAATCAAAACCACAAAGGATGCCACTTCACAACAAATAAAATGGCTAGAATAAAAAAAAAGTGTTTGGTGAGGATGTGAAGAAATTGGAACCCTCATAATCTGTTGGTAGGAATGTAAAATGGGTCAGCCACTATGGAAAAAGACTGTTGGTTCCTCACATGGTTAAACATACTTACCATATGATCCAGCAAATCCACTCCCAGGTGTATACCCAAGAGAAATGAAGACACACCCACACAAAAACTTGTAAACAAATGTCCATAGTGGCATTATTCACAATCGCCTAAAAGTGGAAACAACTCAAATGCCCATCAACTGATGAATGGATATACAAAATGTGGCATTTCAATACAACGAAATATTGGCAATAATAAGAAGTGAAGTGCTGATACATATTACAATGTGAAGTTTGAAAACATGCTATGTGAAAGAGACCAATCACAAAAGACCATGTATTATATGATTCAGTTTGTATAAAGTGTTCCAAGTAGGCAAATCTGTAATATATAGAAACACAAAGTAGACTCATGGTTGCCAAAGGCTGGCAGGGAGGGGAGGTTGAGGAAGGAGAAGGGAAATAACTGCTTGCAAGATGGGTTTTGGGGGGAGTGGGTGATGATGAAGATGTTCTAGAATTGATTGTGAAAGTTTGAATATACTAAAATCATCGAATTCTCCAATTTAAATAGATAAATTCTGTGGTATGTGAATTATATCACAATAAAGCTATTTTAAAAACAAAAATTGTGGAGAGTTTTACCTGTCCAAACTATTTAATATCTAAAATGTATATAGTCTAACCTCACTGGCATATATGCACTGCCATCATTATTGTCTAGATTTGAAAATAAGTCCAGAAAAGTGAAGAGATTTATTTTCCCAAGACTGGAGATGGAATTGTGTTTATTTATCTAGTACTTATTTCATTATGCCATGTTGTAAAATTAGGATCAAATTTGGAATACATTTGAAGTTTTGTGCTTTTCTGAAGTTATGATTTTGGGTGTTTTTTTGAAAATTCTACTAAAAATATATAAAATACTTTGAATCAAGTGTAACATTGTTTTAGAAAAGTGTCATGTCTGCAGAGCACTTAATATATATAAAATCTTACTGGGCAAGGAGAGTACTAAATAAAGGCAGTCAGTCCACTGCTCTCAAGAAACCCACCTATTCTAGCTGAACTGATATGTTTTCTAAAACCTAGTGATTTTTTGTATTGATATAAGTGTATACCTTTGAACAACGTGGAGGATTAGGGGCACCAACCCTTACTCCCCACACTGCACAGTCAAAAATCCTTACAGAGCTTTACAGTCGGTCCTCCGTAATTGCAGTTACACATCCCAGACTCAACCATCCACAGATCATGTAGTACTGTAGTATTTATTTATTGAAAAGCATTTCGCCTAAGAGTGGACCTGCGCAGTTCAAACCTGTGTTGTTCAAGGGTCAACTGTATTTACTTTTAAGGTAATACTTCTGTGTGGTTAATTAAAAAGGTGAAACAGTACAAAAATACAGAGAGTGAAAAAGTCAATCTATCTTTAATGCTCAGACTCCAATTCGTGCATCTAGAGGCAAACACAGTTTCTAATGTCTTGTAGATCCTTCCAGAGGTGTTCTGTACCAACATATTAATGTATCTTAGAAATTTCCCATGTCAATAAATACGATGTCTCACTCTTTAATGACATCAATATCCCTACGTGTGTATCTGCGCAGATGCCTAGAGCTATACGGTAGATGTGAATGTCATGTTTGATTTTAACTGTTGATAAATGTACAATTGAAACATTTTTAAATCTCTAGGGCTAACTAAACTATTGAAATTCAGATATGTGAACTAAATCATATGAATGCTTTTAAAACTCATATTTGACTTTGCTGTAAGCTTCCTCTTTTAAAATTTTCCCATATGCCCTTAAATAGTTAAGCATAATTGTAAATGACATGAATTTACACATGAAAATAATAAATTTACTTTGAAGACCTGACGTTAGAAAAAGCTGACAGTATGGCTACCAAGAGCGTTATTTCTGTGGTAAAATCACATTTTAGAATTTGACCAGTTTTGAACTAGTACCACATATTTTTAGTAATCTCAATTTTAAGGGCCCATGTAATGTAAGTTTTTAATTTTCCAAGGTATCATGCTTTTGACATAAATTGGACATTAATTACTTCGTAGGTGTGTGTACAGCTCTAAGTTCTGAGGTTAGAGTTGTATAAAGACCCAATACTCTACATTGAAGGGGATGAGTATGAAATTTTACTTTGGAGTAATTAATTTTGTTTTGAACTGCTCACCTGATCCCACACCCAGTCAATTTATGTTCTCAGAAATAAACCTAAAGACTCAATTCCTTTTTCACGGACTTTTTTTCTTTTTTGAAGTTTAATTTACATACAGTAAAATCCACTCATTTTAAATGTAAAGTTTGATGAATTTTGGTAATTGTATACAGTTGTGTAACTTCCACCACAATCAAGATATGGAAAAGTTCCATCACCCTTAAGTTTCCTTATGCTCCTTTGCAATTAATCCTCTCTCCCAAGCCTTGATCCCAGACAACAACTGGTACTCTTTTCTCACTATGGTTTGCCTTTTCTAGAATTTATATACATGGGACCATACAGTATATAGTCTCTGTGTTTGACTTTCTACTTAGCATGTTTTTAAGACTTATCTATGTTGTCTATATTAATATCTTGTTCCATTTCATTGTAGAATAGTATGACATAATATTAATATACCATATTTTTTTATTCTTTCATCAGTTGATGGAAAAATAGGATTGTTTTCACATTTGGGCTATTATGGATAACGTAGCCATGAATATTCAGATATCGGTCTTTAGGTGGACACACATTTTCATTTCTTTTGGATAAATATCTGAGAGTGAGATTGCAGGTTCATATGATCAGCACATGTTTAATTTTTTAAGATACTACCAAATGCTTCCAAAGAAGCATTGTGTTCCCACCGTATGGGTTTCAATTATGCTACATTATCACCAAAACTTAATATTGTCAATCATTTTCACTTCAGTCATTCTAATTAGTGTATAGTGGCATCTCATTGTGGCTTTATTTGTCTTTTCCTGATAACTGGTGGATTAATTATCATGTGCATATTGGTCATTCATATATCTTCTTTTGTGAAATTTCAATTCTTTTTGCCAATTTTTAAATTGGGTAGTTTGTCTTCTTGTTATTCAATTATAAGTGTTCCTTATTTTTTTCTAGATACAAGATGTGTTTTGCAAAAATTGTATCCCTGAGTCTGTCATTTTAACTGTGTCTTTCAAAGAGCAAAATATTTAAAATTTTAATGTCTACTTTATTAATTTTTGTTTCCAGTGGCCTATTTAAGATATCTTTAACCTAGTGTCCCAGATATTACTTCTGTTTTCTCCTACGAGTTGAATGGTGTTTACCTTTTATATTTGGGTCTGTGGTTCATTTCAAGTTAATTCTTGTGTACAATGTGAGGTAAGGATTGAGGAAAATTTTTTTCCCATACAGATATCCAGTTGTGCCACCATGATTTGTTGAAAAGACATCATTTCCCTCATTGAATTACCTTGGCTCCTTTGTTGAAAATCAATGGACCATGTAAGAGTGGGTCTATTGCTGACGTATTCTTTCCATGGATCTGTATGCCTTTCATCACTCCAATACCACACTGTTTTGTTTTGTTTTGTTGGGGGGTTTTTTGTTTTTTTACATCTTTGTTGGAGTATAATTGCTTTACAATGGTGTGTTAGTTTCTGCTTTGTAACAAAGTGAATCAGTTATACATATTCCCATATCTCTTCCCTCTTGCGTCTCCCTCCCTCCCACTCTCCCTATCCCACCCCTCCAGGCAGTCACAAAGCACTGAGCTGATCTCCCTGTACCACACTGTTTTGATTACTGTAGCTTTATAGTAAGTCTTGAAATCAAGTACTGTATTTTTGTTCATTGCCTGTATTTTTTTGTCAAGATCACCAACTGACCTTCGTGTTACTAAAGCTAATAAACAATTTACAGTCTTAAATTTAACTTTCTGCAGAATTTGGGAGTATTGAACTTCCCTCTTTCTTGAAAATTTCTGTTCTCTTGTTTTGCATGTCAGCACTGCCCCTTGGTTTATCTCCCACGTCCTTGGCTATCGTTTTAAACTCCTCATAGGCTTAAATATCCATGCTCGTTAAATACTTGTGTTCCTTCCGTTCTCTCTCTGGCTCTGTTCTCTCTAGATATTTTCTATACTCATGACTTCAACTGCTTATGTGCTTATGACTCCAGATATAGATCTTTGGCCAAAGCTTCTCTCCTACTCTATAGATCTGCCCATTTTACCAATTTCTGACATCACCAGGGATGAGTATGGTAATAGAGATGACAGAGGCTCTGAGGTGCTCAACACCCCTAACCCGGGATGTAGTTCCAAGCCTTGCTGTAACTGGTTCCTAGTTCCAAGTGAAGTCATTTGGGTAGTGTGTACGTTCATTCAACCCAGAAACATTTATTCAGAGTCTAATGAATAAGTATTACACACATCAAATGCCAAGGGCTGCCAGGAAAGACAAAGTGGAGTAAAGCCCAATTTTTACTTTCAAGGAATTGACAAGCTAGAGCAAGGTAGGGCAGTGTGGCATATTTGCATCCAAGAAAAAACTATATTGGCTAGCACAGAATTGTTAAATGAATGCAGTAGGCAATCAATATTACAGGAATCTTTTAGAGGAGGGAAGATTCTTTAAGCAAACTAAAAGAATTTGGGCTTTGAAGTATAGGCAGCAGTATGATTGGCAGAATTGGAAAAGCATTACCAGCAGAAGATATTTCAGTGGATGAGGGAATAACTTGAAGTAACCTTGACACAGATTAAAGAATGAGAGTTGGCATGTTTAGGGAATGGTGAAAAAATCTTTCAATTGTGGAGTTATTTGGAACTCCAGTCTCTAGAGAACAAATTGCTATGCAGGCAAAGGAATCACCAGGAACTGGGGAGAAGTAATGAGGAATCTGGAGCAGAAAGCAAGCTAGGCTATCTTAGGGCAAAGAGAAAAAAGAAATATAGCAAAGAAACTGACCAGGATGCTAAAGGATTCTGAGTGTATAAACCACATATAAAAGTTTATGTGTGTCCTTTTCAATCCACCTCCTAGAGAAATGGAAATAAAAACAAAACTAAACAAATGGGACCTAATGAAACTTAAAAGCATTTGCACAGCAAAGGAAACCATCAACAAGACAACCCTCAGAATGGGAGAAAATATTTGCAAACGAAGCAACTGACAAAGGATTAATCTCCAAAATTTACAAGCAGCTCATGCAGCTCAATATCAAAAAAACAAACAACCCAATCCAAAAACGGGCAGAAGACCTAAATAGACATTTCTCCAAAGAAGATATACAGATTGCCAACAAACACATGAAAGGATGCTCAACATCACTAATCATTAGAGAAATGCAAATCAAAACTACAATGAGGTATCACCTCACACCAGTCAGAATGGCCATCATCAAGAAATCTACAAACAATAAACGCTGGAGAGGGTGGGGAGAGAAGGGAACCCTCTTGCACTGTTGGTGGGAATGTAAATTGATACAGTCTTTATGGAGAACAGTATGGAGATTCCTTAAAAATCTAAAAATAGAACTACCATACGACCCAGCAATCCCCCTACTGGGCATATACCCTGAGAAAACTATAATTCAAAAAGAGTCGTACCACAATGTTCATTGCAGCTCTATTTACAACAGCCAGGACGTGGAAGCAACCTAAGTGTCCATCGACAGATGAATGGATAAAGAAGATGTGGCACATATATACAATGGAATATTACTCAACCATAAAAAGAAACGAAATTGAGTTATTTGTAGTGAGGTGATTGGACCTAGAGTCTGTCATACAGAGTGAAGTAAGTCTGAAAGAGAAAAATAAATACCACATACTTATGGAATCTAAAAAAATAAATGGTTATGGAGAGCCTAGGGGCAGGATAGGAATAAAGACACAGACGTAGAGAATGGACTTGAGGACACAGGGAGGGGGAAGGGTAAGCTGGGACAAAGTGAGAGAGTGGCATGGACTTATATTACTACCAAATGTAAAATAGATAGCTAGTGGGAAGCAGCCACATAGCACAGGGAGATCAACTCTGTGCTTTATGACCACCTAGAGGGGTGGGATAGGGAGGGTGGGAGGCAGACACAAAAGGGAGGAGATATGGGGATATATGTATATGTATAGCTGATTCACTTTGTTATAAAGCAGAAACTAACACTTTTATTCAAAAAGAAAAAAAAAAGTTTATGTGTGGGTTCATCAATTCACACACATTAAGTACCAAAGGTGCACCCAACCTGCAGAGAAGGGAAGGAAAACAAGGACAAGGAATTTTAAATCACTGGGCAAGGGACTTCCCTGGTGGCACAGTGGTTAAGAATCCGCCTGCCAATGCAGGGGACACAGAATCGATGCCTGGTCCGGGAAGATCCCACATGCCATGGAGCAGCTAAGCCCGTGTGCCACAACTACTGAGCCTGCACTCTAGAGGCCACAAGCCACAACTACTGAGCCCGTGTGCCACAACTACTGAAGCCCACGCACCTAGAGCCCGTGCTCCGCAACAAGAGTAGCCCCTGCTCGCTGCAACTAGAGAAAGCCCACGCAGAGCAGACAAAGCCCACGTGGAGCATCAAAGACCCAATGCAGCCAAAACATAAATAAATAAATAAATAAAATATATAAAAATAAATAAATACATCCCTGGGCAAGGGGAAAGCTAACATTTCTCGAGTACCTACTATGAATGTGCAAAGTAAGGTTCCTTACAAGATTTTTTATCCTCTCAACAACTCTGTAAGGACTGTATTGCAATATGTTGTGCCCCCAGAACGTTGCACAGAGTTTGATTCTTTGCTTCACTAATTCTTATTTACTGATCAAGACTCAGTGTAGACATGGTCTTCTCTAAGAAGGGTTTATATAGCTTCTTATGGATCTCTACTAGTTCCTATACATATCTAAGATATTAGCTCTAAGTAGTTTTGTGTTGATTGATTTGCATTTTTGTCTCGGGCACCAGGCTGTGAGCATCTCGTATTTCTGAATCTGTAGCATTTAGCCGAGGGGCTGGCATAGAAAGCATTCAGTGAATGGGTGCTGATTG